CCGAGCCCTGCTGAAAAAGTTTACCTGTTTCCAAATTCACCACGTGCCTAGAGAGGAGAACGATATGGCTGACGCCCTCACCAAGTTTGCATCTGCGAACATACTCATGGCCTCGACACTAACAAGTCACCAGTTTAAGCCTAGCACCTCCAAGATAAAGGAGGACAATGTCAACTGTGCATCCTCCGAGTCTAATTGGATGACTCCCATTCGAGCTTACCATGAGGAGGGTGTTCTTCCAGATAACCTCGTGGAAGCTAGGAGATTGAGAATGAGAGCATCTAGGTATGTTATCCTACAAAACACCCTATACAAGAAAAGTTATTCTGTACCCCTACTTCTCTGTCTCACCCCCCAAGAAGCCGATTACTCCATAAGAAAGATCCGTGAGGGAATATGTGAGAATCACTCAGGAGGGCGTGCATTGGCCCACAAAGTAGTTAGACAAGGATACTATTGGCTGATCATGATCAGAGACACCCACGAGTTTGTCAGGAAATATGACAAATGTCAACACTTCGTGACTGTGCCCAGACAGTAGCCCAAAGAGTTCACCACCATTCAGAGCCCCTAGCCTTTTTCCATGTGGGGCATCAACATCCTAGGTCCTCTCCCTATGAGTAAGGACTAGTGCAAGTTTGTGGTGATATTCATAGACTACTTTACCAAGTGGGCAGAAGCTGAAGTCTTAGCACGAATAATAGACCAAAAGATAAAGGACTTCATGTAGAGGAGTCTAGCATGCCACTTTGGAATACCTCATGTCATTGTAAGTGACAAAGTCAAGCAGTTTGATAACAAGCTCCTCAATAGCTTCTATGCCGACCTATAGATCATGCAACCCCACTCTAGCCTTGCCGATCCATAGGCAAACAGGCAAGCAGAGGTTACAATCAAAACCGTCCTCTGCAGTTTGAAAGCCGACTAGAGAGTGCAAAAAGATGATGGGTAGACAAACTCTCAGGAGTCCTGTGGGCCTACAAAATGACACCACGAATCCCCACGGGTGAGACCCACTTTTCCTTAGCCTATGGGACTGAGGCAGTGATACCCATTGAGAATGGGGTACATTCCCTTATGGTTCAATACCATAACCCTACTAGTAATGAAGAAGGCCTCCACATCAACCTCGACTTGGTAGAGGAGGAAAGGGAGATAGCCATGCTCAGGAATACAGAGTACAAGTGTCACATGACCAAGTACTACAACTCGAGGGTGAAGTCTTGTTCCTTCTTACCCGGGGACCAAGTCTTCAAAAAGGTCATCTTGTCTACCAAAGACTCCTGGGAAAGAAAATTAGGACCCAACTAGGAAAGACCATACACGGTCATGGAGGTGGTAAGGTTAGGCACCTACAGAATCCAAAATTTTAAAGGAAAGGTCCTAGTCCATCCATGGAATGTAGAGCATGTAAAGAAATATTACCAGTAGCTGGGGGCAAGACAGTGAGTCATAAGTTGGTGGTCACTATTCAGACTATTCACCTTTTATTTTGGTCAACTTCTTTCAAATATTTACTTTGAATTATGAAATAAAATTTCACAATGTTTTTTCAAACAATTGTATTTCATTCAAGTTCATGAAGCTTTTACAAAAAGATAGGATACAAGCTATCAACAAAAAATACAAAGGCACCATACCCCTAGCGACACTCACTACCTCTACTACCATCGTTGCTCGCATCCTCCTCATTAGTCCCTAGAGCCTCATAAGGTAAAAAGCCAGAAAATTCATAAGCAGGGAATGCTGTTGAGACCGTCCTTCTGAGCTCCTTGTAGCTATCAATGAAAGCGCCTGCCACGACCCTCTCAATAGTGTTACTCCTCTTCTCCATCTCCATAGAGTGAGCCTGCCCTAGTTGCTTTATCCGAAGCTACTCGAAGGTCAGCTTCTAGTTGGGCAGCCCTCTCGCTTGCTAGCCTCANATCCCCACGGGTGAGACCCACTTTTCCTTAGCCTATGGGACTGAGGCGGTGATACCCATTGAGAATGGGGTACATTCCCTTATGGTTCAATACCATAACCCTACTAGTAATGAAGAAGGCCTCCACATCAACCTCGACTTGGTAGAGGAGGAAAGNAGCCCCACGGGTGAGACCCACTTTTCCTTAGCCTATGGGACTGAGGCAGTGATACCCATTGAGAATGGGGTACATTCCCTTATGGTTCAATACCATAACCCTACTAGTAATGAAGAAGGCCTCCACATCAACCTCGACTTGGTAGAGGAGGAAAGGGAGATAGTCATGCTCAGGAATACAGAGTACAAGCGTCGCATGACCAAGTACTACAACTCGAGGGTGAAGTCTTGTTCCTTCTTACCCGGGGACCAAGTCTTCAAAAAGGTCATCTTGTCTACCAAAGACTCCTGGGAAAGAAAATTAGGACCCAACTAGGAAAGACCATACACGGTCATGGAGGTGGTAAGGTTAGGCACCTACAGAATCCAAAATTTTAAAGGAAAGGTCCTAGTCCATCCATGGAATGTAGAGCATGTAAAGAAATATTACCAGTAGCTGGGGGCAAGACAGTGAGTCATAAGTTGGTGGTCACTATTCAGACATTCACCTTTTATTTTGGTCAACTTCTTTCAAATATTTACTTTGAATTATGAAATAAAATTTCACAATGTTTTTTCAAACAATTGTATTTCATTCAAGTTCATGAAGCTTTTACAAAAAGATAGGATACAAGCTATCAACAAAAAATACAAAGGCACCATACCCCTAGCGACACTCACTACCTCTACTACCATCGTTGCTCGCATCCTCCTCATTAGTCCCTAGAGCCTCATAAGGTAAAAAGCCAGAAAATTCATAAGCAGGGAATGCTGTTGAGACCGTCCTTCTGAGCTCCTTGTAGCTATCAATGAAAGCGCCTGCCACGACCCTCTCAATAGTGTTACTCCTCTTCTCCATCTCCATAGAGTGAGCCTGCCCTAGTTGCTTTATCCGAAGCTACTCGAAGGTCAGCTTCTAGTTGGGCAGCCCTCTCGCTTGCTAGCCTCAACTACTCTGCAACATCTTCTCATGCCTGCCACTCGAGCCCCAACTGTTTTGTTGCATCCTCTCGTGCCTATCGTTCGAGCCCCAAATGCTTTCCAGCATCCTCTCATTCCTGCTGCTCAAGCCTTAACTGCACCACGACATCCTCTTTTGTCTGCCGCTCGTGCCCTAACTACTCTTTAGTAGCCTCGCATGCCCACCTCTCCGCTGCCTGGCCATTGATTGCCTCCTTGATCTTCAGTGTACTTGTAAACAAGCAGGGCAAAGTAGTAGCCAACTGTAGATAGTCAAAAGTGAAGTATAAAGGATAAAGGTCAGGTGCAAAACCAAAGAAAAGTGTAGGACATATCAAAGCGATGCCCTCCATAGCAGCATCAACAACACCCTTAGGGCCTCGAGAGGCAACCTCTTCAACTTCCGTGCGAGTCACAAGCTCCCAAAGTCTCTCCCTGGCCAGCCTCACATCCCGCAACATAGATGTTGAGGCACTACCTAAAGCAGGACAGCTAGGCGAACCCTCTGTCCTGATAGGAGACCGCGTCGGAGTCCCAGCCCCCGCAGTAGTGCAGGGACCATCTCTAGGGGGTGAGGAGACATCAACCAGAGGAGAATGAAGGGCATCACCAAGCTCCCCCTCTCTGGGACTAGCCTAACTAGTGGGCCTCGACTGAGAAGAATTGGGGGCACTAGACTTCGCCCTCTTAGAAAAAGGAGGAGAAGACGCCACCTTGGAAACATAGACCTCCTCCACCACCAACCAGTCAACGGAGGTACTTGTAGAGTCAATGTGAATAAAAGCCCACAACATTGTGCCTATAAGTGTCTACTAGAAAGGTCAAATACCTTTCCTCTTCGGCTTGGAAGAAGCCTTGGGTTGACCAAACGCTGACATAATCCCGGAGAACTTTTTAAACGGATGGTCGTGAACCATCTGGATCCTGCTCTGTTGCTCCACAAACAGCGTAGAAAAAGCTACAAGGAAGCCAATTGCACTATAAGAACAAATATGTGACAGCTAGAATGAAGTTAAAGGAGAGTCCTTACCCTACTAAGCCTTAGAGACAGTATCCCATCTCGAGGGCACCTGGTCACAATCAAAATCAGTGGCCCACTCACCTCCAATGAAGAAGAAGTTGGTCTTCTAGCTATGAAGATTCAAAGGAAGCCTAGTAATGAATTTACCCGACCTCGGGGCAAAATGGTACCAATCCTGATGAGGGACGGGATTCTCCAACAGCACATATGTGGCCAAGAACTCCTCAAAGGGGGAGGGATGTCAGCACTGTGCACCAACTGCCACAATGTAAAGAATGATAGTATAACCCTCCACCCGTTCGGGGCCAACCTCCCGGGAAACAGTGATAGGTGCCCCAGAACCCGACATATGGGTCCGAGTATTAGAAACCTTAGGTCTACCTCCAATATGCCTTTATAAAGGACAATCTCATTAAAGGAGTCGCAATATGCTACCTCGTCGCCTTCGGCACAACGACACATCACAGAAGGAGGAATGTGATATGAGGAAACTATGGCTGCAATATCCTTATCACAGTCAAGGGAGCTAAGTATAGAGGCTACCTTAGAGCCATTGCCTCCATTAGTACCCGTGCCTTGCTCAGAGTCCCGAGTGGTCTCCCGCTCACCCGAAAGAACACCCACCAAAACAAAGTTAGGCCATTGCTAAAGAAAAATACTCATACCAACAAAGGATTAAATATGAGCTCTTGATGACATACCTTGAGAGCTCGGTCTGCTTAAGTCACTAATTGGCCGCTTCCTTGCACTACCCAATCACCCAGGGGCATCACTAGACTTGCCCACATGCTTCCTTGAGTCGCTTGTGTCATTTACATCACGAAAGAAGGCTCAAACTAAGCCTGGGATGCCGTTGAAATCACCTCCAATGCTGCCTAGCATGTTACTGGCATCGTCCGATGTGCTACTGGCATCGTCCATTGCGTGGCAGACACCGCCTAGTCCCTTTGGGGTGCCTTCCTACTCCTCTACTCCGTTGCTTGAGTCCTTGGCGCCATCAACAAGAGACACGGCCCCTTGGGCGCCACCTAGGCTAGCCCCATAGGCCATCCCCATAGACACCGCCTGACTCTCTTGAGGCATATCCTAGCATCTTTCCAGCACCTTGGACGCCTCCCACTATACCAAAAGGGTTGCTTGAGATCTCCTTCCCCAGACCTTATGTCAAGCCAAAATTTCCAAAGAACCTCTCGCCCTCTACCGAGACCTCACCAACACTACCACGAGAAGAGGAGCCCAAGTCACCAGTGCTTGAGAGGGAGTCGTCCAAGCCCCTGGCGCCGCCCATGGGGATGGGTACAAATGCCTCTCTTTTCTCTCCATCTCGCTCTTTCTCCTTCATGTAGGCGCTGCCTGCCAAGCCTCTACCGGCACCGCCCTTATGGTCTCCCTCCTCTATCTGCATCAAAGACCTGCCATCTCCAATCGAGGACCCAACACCATGCTCCATTGCCCACTTCACTCCCAGCGCCTATAACACCACTGGCGCTACCCGCGCCATGGATACCCACTTGGGGGCCACCCGTAGCACCACTAGTGCCACTCGGGGCTAGCTCTCTTGAGCTCTCTGTCGTCTTGCCAATAGTACCCACCTTCTTTGAGCTTCTAGTCTCCATGAATTTGTTATGATTTGAGAAAAGGAAGACTAAGTGAGAGAGATGAGTTAAGGAATAGTAGCTTCTAGGAGAAGCCTTTAAATAAAGGGAGATGGATTCTTGGAGAAGCCTAGAGGGATAGCCTTTAAGAGAAGCCCTAAAAGAAAATGAAAAGAGGAATGAGGAGGGAGAGACCAGGGACCACTATTTATAGATGAAGGCATAGCGAAGGGAATGCCAAAAAATGTAAAATATATCCGATGTTAGTAGACTCAATAGAGAGCCCCTAAAAATGAAAAGGCGTCGTGGGGAGCAAGAAATACTCCTACTCACTCAAGTGAAGAAAAAGCTCACGTCCCCAACCCTTCTCTCGCAAACAGTTGGAGGCTTGGGGCATGGGGGGCAAATTATGAGCCCAAAATCAACTGGGCCAAGCCCAATAAATCAAGAAGGCCTAAGTCAACTAAATGGTGGCCCAGACCCACTTTGCCAGTCCGACCCAGTTCAGGATCCAAGAAGTCCGGAGAGATAGGAGCACGTGGGAGAAACTATCATGATACGCACTCATGAAAATCCAATTCTACCATGATTTTACTTACTAAAAGAATAGTGCCCTCTCCCTCACATTACTGCCTCACCGCCTCACCATACCTATATAATGTAAGCCCTCTCCACACGGAGGGCATCACCTTGAGACCTCAAGACACCTCTACATCTCACATACCTCTCTATATCTCTTTACACACCAAGTTTCTCTCTCCTAAAGTATTGTAACTCCCTTGAAGTATACTCTCTTGGTTACTTTATTCATCTATAAAGAACTTCGGCTACCGCTGTCATTTTTCGAGAGTGGAGTAGGTCACCGGGATTGAACCACTATATATCTTTGTGTTTGCTTATATTTACTATTTTGCCATTAATCATCTCATTTATTACTCATTAATTACACCTCTTCACATACTCGATTGTTGTTTTTGCACGAGACCAATTTGTGCATCATCAATATGAGCACACAACATCGCTCCCATCTAACCACTATGTCCAAAATTTACTTATGATACAAAAGGTCATGCAATTTTCCTTGGAGAATATTTCTAGAAACATTCATAAGCAAAAACCTACCAATGGGCATCTAGGAATAGGAAGAAATCAATCCTTTTAGTTATGAATAGGAAGAAATCAATCCTTTTAGTTATGTAGGAAAGAAAAAATTGTGGGATTTNCGTCTAGGAATAGGAAGAAATCAATCCTTTTAGTTATGTAGGAAAGAAAAAATTGTGGGATTTCCTATCAAAGTTTTTTTTCTTTCTNTAGGCCAGGCCCAATAAATCAAGAAGGCCTAAGTTAACTAAAGGGTGGCCCAGACCCACTTTGCCAGTCCGACCCAGTTCAGGATCCAATAAGTCCTGAGAGATAGGAGCACGTGGGAGAAACTATCATGATACGCACTCATGAAAATCCAATTCTACCTTGATTTTACTTACTAAAAGAATAGTGCCCTCTCCCTCACATTACTGCCTCACCACCTCACCATACCTATATAATGTAAGCCCTCTCCACACAGAGGGCATCACCTTGAGACCTCAAGACACCTCTACATCTCACATACCTCTCTATATCTCTTTACACACCAAGTTTCTCTCTCCTAAAGTATTGTAACTCCCTTGAAGTATACTCTCTTGGTTACTTTATTCATCTATAAAGAACTTCGGCTACCGCTGTCGTTTTCCGAGAGTGGAGTAGGTCACCGGGATTGAACCACTATNTCGAAGTATACTCTCCTGGTTACTTTATTCATCTATAAAGAACTTCGGCTACCGCTGTCGTTTTCCGAGAGTGGAGTAGGTCACCGGGATTGAACCACTATATATCTTTGTGTTTGCTTATATTTACTATTTTGCCATTAATCATCTCATTTATTGCTCATTAATTACACCTCTTCACATACTCGATTGTTGTTTTTGCACGAGACCAATTTGTGCATCATCAATATGAGCACACAACATCGCTCCCATCTAACCACTATGTCCAAAATTTACTTATGATACAAAAGGTCATGCAATTTTCCTTGGAGAATATTTCTAGAAACATTCATAAGCAAAAACCTACCAATGGGCGTCTAGGAATAGGAAGAAATCAATCCTTTTAGTTATGTAGGAAAGAAAAAATTGTGGGATTTCCTATCAAAGTTTTTTTTCTTTCTTATGTCACAACTAGCAATAATCATGTACCTGAAAATAGTGTGTAATATAAAAAAATTAAATATTGATCGTATAATATTTATATTTTAAATAGTAATTTATTTTTCTTTCCTTTTTTTTAATTACATTATTTAAAATTAAAGTGAACAAAGAGAAAAAATAATAGAGATAGGGGAGAGAGAAGAGAGAGGTAGGTCTGGATTAATGGGGTTTTTTTTGACATTACGAATTGTGTTAGTTGAGTTATTTGACATTGAGGGCTGTGCAGATAATATGATATTTTTAAGTGAAGAAAAAAAATTAAGATGAATTTTGTGTCATTGGATCAAAGTAGATGAAAATTAGAACAATCTTGACTATTGTTGTACTTTTATCAATTGAGAATTCAACTTCCTAATTATATAGATAGATTGTTGAAAACATAGTTATCAAAACTAGACCGACCATCATCCTGATAGAGGGATTGGGTCACTAGATCAGCCGCTGGGTCAACTGATCGGACCGATCATATAATAAAAAATAAAAAAAATTATAAATCATAATGCTTAAGCTAAAAAATTATAAAACATAATAATTAAGCTAAAGTTGTGTACCGATTACAATCAATTTTCCATCCAAACTCAGTCAAAGATCAATATCAGATACTTTCCAATACTACTATCTAGAAGAGGACAAATTATTCTAGGCTTAGGAAATTAGCTAAGATCACAACATCAATGAAGTCTACCACAGAAAGTCACACACGAGAAGGGAGTCGACAATCTAGGTTGTTGTAAGCCCCCACGTTCTTATTTGTTTATAGCCCTGTAATTATTTTTGAAATGCTAATATACGTAATGAGGTATGCATGAACTATGTAGAGGATAAGAGTAGAAATAAAAATGTTAGTGGATGTAATAGGGTATATTGTAGAAAGTTGGAAGTATTTCGGAGTGAAATCGCATTTTAGAGATAGTTTGGGTAAGATGGATTTTTGACACTGCCTTAGTGTTTGGATTATAACTTTTATTTTGATATCCATTTGACTTGAAATTTTGATAGTAGACTCTAAACTTCCAGGGCTAGAAAATAGTATTTCACAAAAATTTTCCAAATCGACCTCTAAATAGGTCAAAACTCCACTGGAAGTTTCAACAGAAACTGGGAGGACGTTCGAACGATAGTAAGTCCCAGTACTTTGATGTCTGCAGAGCTCTGATGAAAAATCAAAAGTATTGGGGGCAACTAAAGTTTGAATGCCAAGTGACATTCAAACGCCAAAGTGACGTTTGAACGTGAGTTAAGAAATCTGGGTTTCAGAATCGCGCACAGGAGGTCATTTCTTCCACTATNTACAGAGCTCTAATGAAAAATCAAAAGTATTGGGGGCAACTTAAGTTTGAATGCCAAGTGACATTCAAACGCCAAAGTGACGTTTGAACGTGAGTTAAGAAATCTGGGTTTCAGAATCGCGCACAGGAGGTCATTTCTTCCACTATAAATACTTAAGGACACCCTCATTAGCCCCATTCCAACACTTATAACCCTAGGAAGTCTTAGGGAGGAAGAAGGAAGGAGAAAAACACAAGATCAAGGAGGATTTTCACATTGAAGTGAATCAAATCTCAAGTTCTTCACACAAAATTAAGGAAGAAGGTAAGGGTTTTCTTTCACTCTTGTTCATTGATGCTAGAGCTTATATATATATATATATATACATATTTTGACTCTAAATCTTATATATATGTATTGAAATCCTTTATTCTTGATATTCTTGTGAAGTTATGGTTGATGGCCGTAAAACCCTTGTTCTTGATGTCAAAACCTAATTTTTAAGAGAGATGAAATCTTCTTCTTGATATTCTTGTGCTCTTGAGTCAAAAACTTTAGTGTTTTATTTTGAACAGTAAAAGTATGTCTTTTAATGATCTCTTGCTTATTTTCTTGAGAAGTAATATTGGCAAAATACCTATGAAATTGGGAGATTTTTGAAATTACTTGTGATTTGAGAAATACCTATGGAATTGCGGGNTGTTCTTGTGCTCTTGAGTCAAAAACTTTAGTGTTTTATTTTGAACAATAAAAGTATGTCTTTTAATGATCTCTTGCTTATTTTCTTGAGAAGTAATATTGGCAAAATACCTATGAAATTGGGGGTTTTTGAAATTACTTGTGATTTGAGAAATACTTATGGAATTGNGTAATATTGGCAAAATACCTATGAAATTGGGAGATTTTTGAAATTACTTGTGATTTGAGAAATACCTATGGAATTGGGGGGGGGGTTTTGATTTACTGGTGATTTGAGAAATTGGTTGGTATTGTATCTCTTGCATCTTGTATGATTTTTTGTGATAGACTTGAATTGCATTCGAGAACTGCCGTAGAGTGTTAGATGTTAGTCTATCCCAGTGGGGATGAGATGGTTGCCTAACACTTGTAGTGGATTATTGTTTTGAGAGCAACCACTATTGTTCACGTAAGTTTGAGGCTGAGGGATGGTATACCTTTCCTTGAAAGGATTTGTCAATGCTGTGGGAGACAGTATACGCCCTTCCTAAAGTAGTTTGTGTGGTTATGATGGGTGAACANTAAGGGATAGTATACCTTTCCTTGAAAGGATTTGTCAATGCTATGGGAGACAGTATACGCCCTTCCTAAAGTAGTTTGTGTGGTTATGATGGGTGAACAAGGTAGAATCATTGTGTAGATTCATGGGAAGCAACCAACATACATAAGAATATGGGATGATGCTATTGAATGATTAATTGATTTCTTCACGTGTTTATTCCTTTCATTTAACTTATTGCTATTGCGTTAACTTGAGATCGAATAAATTGT